CTACCGCTTGAGCCACATCCCCAGCCCCAACCTGTTGTCTTAAAATATAAAAAGCATGTTACCTCAGGCCTGAAGGAATTACTCTTTGTATTTTATACAGTCATGAGGGAAAGTAAAAATGTATGTAGGGAATTTTTTCTCTGATTCTTACGTTTTCAAACACAGAGTTCAAATCATGTGTAGTTACCAAAGCTTAATGGCTTTGTGAGTTAAAAAAAAAATTCTGGCATACTCTTATTTCAATTAAAATTTTTTTATCTAAAATTAGTAATTCAGAAGTTATGGCTCATTTTTACCTTTGGAAGCTTTTGAATGCTAAATTTTCTCTGGAAAATTGTTTTATAATTTGTTTAAAAATTATCAAATGTATGCTTGGAGTTCTCTGGGTGAACTATCAATTTGTTTTGAAATATCAAAAGCATTTAAATTCTTGTTTGGAATATGAAGTCTCAGAATACTAAATTGATTCATATTTTATTAAATGTTGCTCTAAAACCTGTCTAGTTGGTTTTCTTGCAATGTGTTATGACTAAATTAGATCACTTTGTGCAGCTGCATCCATTATCATTCATCCTCATTGTCCTTGGGCTGTTATGGAAAAATAATGATATTTGGGAAAGGTTTATATGAAGGAAGAAGAAATGTGATGATAGGAAATTGGACATCTAATCTCGTAGCAACTTTGAGCTACCCATTTCCTTTTGAAGAATTCTTTACTTAAAACAAGGAGGAAAAAGGATTATTTTAAACAATTTATCATTTTAAAAATATAGATGGATGGATGTTAAGCTAAAGATATGCCTTTTGTCTCTGATTTATTCTTAATTTAGTTAATTGTGAGCCACTTGTTCAGGCATGCTTTCTAGAAGTGGATTCAGTTAATCTAATTAAATAACAGGTTGGCCTTTTCCTGGACTATCATTTTTGCCAAGGAATCAGATACTCATTGTTGGCTTTCAGACCACAGAAATACAGGAAACCAGTTTTGGTAATAAATGTGGTGGAACTAGAAATTTAAGTGTCTCCTGGATTTGAGCTTCTCAGTGCTGTGCTCCCAGCTGGTCTTAGAGAAATTATCAGCTGTAGTGCCGGAGTTTCTCTAAAATTTTTAATTGCCTAGGGAATACTTGCAAAATAAGAATAATTTTGTGTGGAAATGAGACCTACTTTTAAAAAGTCTTTCAGGAACTGAAGAAATGGAAGCTAGGAATTTAGACATAGACTTTTAAAATAGTATTATGTAAAAGTACAAAAGAAAGAATATCTGGCTTTCTTTCTCAGAGTGTTCCACAGTAACAGTGTGAATGTCATCTAGACACACAAGTTTGTATGTGCCTTGTATGTACCTAGGATGCCTTTTACTTAGGTTATGTGAAAATAAGTTATGCTCACTTGTAATTACACTAATGAACAACAGATTTAATTACCCTCAGCCCATAGTACAAGAAAATGAACCACTGTGGAAGTCATTAAACTTGAGTTTCAGTTTCACAATAATTTTTATAGTCTTCTTTAAATGTATATACTATTGGACATACTCATTTTTTTCCTAATTTAATGTTATACTATTATTTTTAAGGAGAGAAATAGACTGTTTGGGGTTTGTTTTGCAGATAGGCTTTTTTTCTTTTTTGCCTCATAGCCACAAAAAGACATGTTGCATTATCAATGATCTGTGAATCTCTTTTGCATAAACAGGGCATGTGACTGCTTTTTAATTGTCTGAGAGATGGAAATATGCTAGTATTAGTGGTCAGGAGCATATGCATTAATGTTAGTGACTAATTTTGTCGACTAGTATTTTTGCCACTATTTGATGCAGTACACCTTCAGAAAGCTACTGAAGTGATGCTACAAAATGTGGAAGTCTTCAGATCTTTACTGAGTTTGTGTAGAGAGGTCTTCTTGGTCTTCTCTAAATTTTTAACATGCTTCCCTCTTCTCTTCACTATAAAACTTCATAGTTCTCTTCCCTGCTTCTTTAGCATTTATAATTATCTAACTTTCCATTTTTGTGTTCTTGTTGATCTTGTTTAGTGTCTGTCTTCTGTTAGTTTAATGATGATGTAGATTGTATCTGTTTTGTTCACTGCATCCCTAGGGCTTAGAATATGGTAGATGCTCAATAAATATTTGTTGAATGAATGTGAAATGTAGCATCTACCCTGAAGGAATTGAACTTAATGATAAAAATATGATCAAGAACCAGCTACATGCTACTTTTTATCCATACTCATGAAAATTATATGTATACCTTGAATGAACAGCTATATAAGCACTAAAGAGGTACTTTATATTGGAACTGTCATTGCTTGGAGACAGCAGGGGTTTCTGGAATTAATACTCTGACATTGGCTCAGTCTAGCAAGGCTTGGGAAGAAAGTAGTGTTGAACAGACATGACAATTTCCAAGAAAGCATGGTTGGTTGAGAGGGGGAGAAGGATTTTCCAAGCAATGAGCATGACAGGAGATGCCTGGAGCCAAGTCAGACAGAATGTGTACAAAACATTTTCTCTGACCACAGACTACTGAGGGAATTTTGGGAAGTTAAGAGCTATTTGGTGAGGAGAGCCAGTTTTGTGATGGAACAAGAATTAGGAGATTTAATTTATTATGCAAGTACCTGGGAATCAGCAGATAACAATTATTAGCCAAAATTATATCTATAGAAGAGAATTCTTAAGTCTTGGGGATTTCTAGAATGTAGGAAAGCCATAAAGTGAGTATGGTTTAACGATGTGGCTATGGCAGTGTAGCAAAAGGGACAAACATGAAAATTTCTAGTGAAAAATGCAACAAAGCTTATAAACTATGTATCTGGCCAGAGGAATAGGAAGTAATGAGGACTTTATCAAGGTACAGATTTTAGTAGTTTTGCTCTTAGAAGTACTTAAAGGAAGACTATTGAACAGATTAAGAATGAGAATATATATACCCATCTCCTAAATTTTGTTAAGTGGGATTCTCACAGAAGGCTCTCTAAATAAGCACTGAAATGTGAAATAAGTCAGTTTAAGGAAGTTGCCTTTTTTCTTTTTGGTCAAAACTCATGATAAATTCTGACACTTTGGTTGTATATTTCAATTTAGTAAGATAGGATATGCTCATTCTTTATAAGATTTWAAAATGTAGTTTAAACAACAGGCTGACACATACTTACAGGTTAATGGAATTTGCCTTCCTTTACTCCAGACACCACTGATTTGACATGAACTAACAACTCAAATTTTCTTGCTTGCTCACTGTTGAAAGTATATCTTTCTTGATTAGTGCTTTACCTTCTTACTTAATCTTTTTAAATAAGGTCTTCTGCATTTCTTGCTTTGCATGTGTCTTAATTTCTTCTTCCTTCTTTGTTCATTTGAAGACACTTCTCCCACAATCTAGTAGGTTTTATACATACAGACAATTGTTCTTCATTCTAATCAGTTGCAGTTGAGAATAACAGCCATATTTCCACATTCATAGTTCCTCTGAAGGCCAAGCATGCATTAAGATTGTTAATACTTGCAACAGCCTACATATTATCTTCATTTCACAGATGAGCAAACAAGCTGGGAGACAGGAATTGACTGCACATGGATTGTGCAGCAAGGACTTGATTAGAACTAGAACTTAAGTTTAGTCCCTGATCTGTTTAACTAGAAAACTGACATTTTCTCCAAGAGCACAGTCTCAAACCATTTTATGTAAACTTGTTTTTTTTTTTAAATATATATATTTCTCTGTGCCACCTTTTTTTTTTTTTTTGAGTTTCTTGTTGGTTTTAACTATTTTTTGATTGTGGCTTCTTTATTAAATTTAAATCTTGTTTCAATACATGAGGTGTAAACATTAAAATTTCATGCCTTATATTAAGCCTAAAGGTCCACCAAGATTGAAACTTTTTTTTTTTAAGTGAATATGTTGTCATTACTTTTTGGAAAATGCTTCTTTTGCATTCAAGTTTCATTTATTAGAATAAAATTATTTTACAGTTAAATTTCAACTTAGCATATACATACTGAATACTTATCATGGTCCAACTAAAGATTAAACAATGTCTTGGGAGCACAACAATGAATGGCCAGATATCTGGCCTTCAGGAGCCCCTTCACATTCTAGGTCAACAGAAAGCATGTAAATAGTACTGTAGTCATTGCCCCAGGATGATGCTCCCAGTGACCAAGGCCTTATTGTACATTTCATTTAACTAAGTGTGTTAAAATCAAATTCTAAATGTAGAATTTTTCCTAGGTATGCCTTGCAATAGCTCATTATTCCCAGCCAACAGACCTCCAGCTACTCTTTGCATTTGAATATGTTGGGAAAAAATACCACAATTCAGGTAAATATGAAAATATTAAATTTGTGACTAACTTTACATGTGTAAATTTTATTCTTATGTTTATCAGAAGCCTCCATGAACATGGGCTTTAACAACTGTAGAATTATTAGCTTCATAATTGTTAGAAAAGTAAGCACTATATACTGCAAAAGCCAACRTTTGCCATATTTTTTTCCTTGAAAAAAACCTGGAAAAACTAGTAAACAGCTGAAAATATGGGCTCATAAAAGTCATATATTTTACCTCCAGTCACTGGCTTATATTTTGCAGTGAAGAATATATCCTCTACCCTTTTTAATTGATAGTTTGAGTCAAAGTAATCTTAACTTTAAAAAGAGTTGAAAGCATATAAACTCTTCCGGCAATGTGTGATTTTATGCAAAACTTGAAATGCTTCAAAACTTTTGAAGTTTTGAAGTGGAGTTCATTAAGATTGTCAAAATACTGATTTTATATTTATGAATAAAATTGCAGAGAGGAAAATGAGCATTTTGCTAAAAATACAGGTAGCTTCTAGGCAGTTTTGTGACAGTAAAATAGTTTTGTCCATATTTTTGTGTCAGCCATGATATCACCAAGGAAAATTCTAGATGATCATGTCATTCTGTACATCCTGTTTATATGCCATGCAATTTTTAATCAACCATGTTTTAAAATTCATAAAAGGATAGAGAAAAGAGTCCATGTTTCCTATTAGCCCCCTTGTTTATTAGCAACTTGCACATCGACTTGCTGACTGAATCATGTGTTCTCTCACTGTCTAAGGAAGAAAAATAAACCAATTGTGTATTTATAGTGAAGGATCCATTCATGCCAGCATAGCCTGGGGCTAACAGATTATTAATTGTACTGGAATTATATATGTATTACATTAAAATATATAATTGAAATAACCTGTATAATTAAAGTATTCCAGTATCACTATATTGTAAATGCATTAAAATGTAGTATAAGTACACAGTGTCCACAAATGCATATGGTATAACTACACTTTCATTACTTTAAAAGATACTAATCAACACTAAAGATGATGTATGAAAATAATGTGCACAGAACAGCTTTTATTCTGGACTGTATAGAAATTGATTAACAAAAATATTTAACTTTTCTTATTAAAATGTATATTAATTATAGCTTAGGCTTGAGCAACACAGTTTTTTTTTAAGTTTGTATTAATAAAAAGTAAATTCACTTATTGCCTAAAAATAAAGCAGTATAGAGCCTGTAYCATTAGTCATGTAACTGTTTCTTTGGATCATCATCAGGCTACAGAACAGTGATCATCAAGGTTATCTTCAATTAGATCCTCATATAGAGTTGCAAGAGAGTAGCTGAAATGAAAGTTTCAAGAGGTACAGGGTTGTAGGAGATAGTCTTCAATTTCCTAGTTCAGTTTGTTTTTAATATAGCCCAGTTCCTTATGCTACTTTTCTCTGACAGCAGTGGTTTAGTTTCATGTACAGATCCATGATTTCTGCAAGAATATAATTACTTGGGCTCAGTAAATACATTAGCTTCATTATACATATACTGCTTTACTACTTTTCACATTTTCCCTTGTTCATTCCTTGTGGGCATCTCTGGTTTATTATACTTTAAATAGTTTATCGATTCATAACTCTTTTATTCCTAGATTTTCTGCCAATCAGTTCTTCTYATTTCTTTATATAACTTGATAAAATTTGATGATTAATACTAAAAATATTCAGGAACACTTTTTGTTATTACATCCTTCGGATTCCTTCTTCTTCAGCAAGTACTTCATAAACATAACACTGGCCAAAGTTTTGTTCAGTATCTTCATAGGGTACCATCTGTTAATATCCTTCCATGCTATTACAGAAGCATAAACTGCATCTTTAAGATCAAAAGAAGCCTGAAATTTCCACACACTACAGTCAGAATTCTTAATTTGAGAGTGAAAGATGCCCAATAATCCACTCTTGAACTTCTGGATGGCACCTTGATTCATTGGCTGGATTAAAGAAGTCCTTTATGCAGGCAGGTAGGTGATAAAGCTGTTTGCACAATTAAGATTCAAAGTTGGAAGATGTCCCCTGCAGTTATCTAGGAAAAGAATCCTCCCTTAGCTGGCCTTAAGCATTCTGAGGTATTCTTTCAGACCCAGTATCACATTAGTAAAAACCAGTTCTGTACAGGAAGATGTGTTGCTCCTACAGGCTTCCAGACATTTCTCACAAGCAATAATAATTCTGTTTTTYTCTTTTAACGTCAAAGAAACTATGAGGATTCTGTGTTCCTCAGTCAGATTATTATTGGGCAAATAATTGTCAAAAATACAGATTCATCTTTGTTATTAAATTGATAAGATGTCAGATTATGCTTCTGGACTAAAAAATTGAAAACCTCATGAAGTTGTCTGTAGGCTCAGCATCAGCAACTCTAGGTCATAACAGACATGCTTATAAATGCTGTGTGATGTAATCTGAAAGTAGAATGTAGCTTCATATCAGACTATATGACTTTTCAGTGAACATTGTTAACTTTATATTACTAAAAAGTAACACAAATCTTGATATTAGGTTTTTTAAGTGCTTATTTGAAATCTATGTACACAATCCATGTCAAACAATGTAGGAATTTTTTCACAGTTGTCACTTGTCAGTTCTCTAAAGGGTCTCAGTATAGCTCTAAATGATTGTGACTAATGCTCTAATCACTTGAATATTGGTAGTTCTTAACTAGCCATGTGCATCAAAATCACTGGAAGAGTCTTTAGAAATACAGCTATGTTGACTGTGGCACAGGCCCATAGAATCTGCAGTTAAGAACCATTTTGTTGACTCACCTATTTTGAAGTTATTAATGATCACAATTCTCTTTATATCTTCTTCACTGTTGTTTTTTACTTCTAATTTCTGCCTTATGATCAGAATTATATGCCTTCTTTTCATATGTTGACCATTTTTAATATCTTTCCTTGATATTTGCTTTAGGCTGTTTTAAGTGTCAGTAGGATCAATTAAGTGGAAATTCCTTAAAATAATCTCACAGTCTAGGATTAGACTTCTGAAGTATATCACAGAAGATGGCCAAGGCCAGAAGCATTTAGTAACTAGTTTCGCTTTTATTCTGCTGAGGAGCTGTGTCATAAAATTTCAGTCAGGTAATTATCAGAGAAGCCAGGTCTCCTGAGATGACCCACTTTGCCAGTTTGATGCTCCAGCCCCTCAGGCTGCCCCACATGGAGTAGGCCACTGGCATTAGGCTTTGGGAGCTTTCTGGGCAGCATTAGAATTTCCAGACTCTAAAACCACATTGAGAATCTGCTACCCAATCAATAGTGAATTCTCATTGAAGAAAATATAGAATGAATAAAGGTCTAGTCCCAGCTGTTGAGAAATGTACAGGATTTGAACATGAGAAACATTTAAAATAACAAACAACACAGGATCCTATATATGCTTTCACTTTATGTTCAGCAAAATCAGTCTGTTCTTGGATAAATCTGGTGGCTAAATTTGGCCAGAGAAATAATAGCACATTTTCACCTTAATTATTAAAGTCTGTAACTCAAAACACTAAAAATTATTCGGTTTTAGACCCTTAGCTAGTGGCATACTACCAAACTGTTCACAAATTCACATACCTGTTCCAAAATCTTTAGTGTGTTTGTTACRCTTCCTTTTTGATGGTATAGTTATCCCATTGTGTGTCCAGGACCTGTGGTACAATGTTGAATAGCAGTAATGCTAGCAGGCATTGTTTTTGTCTTTGGTTTTAATGATAATGCTATTTGCAAGGTATTTTTGATAAATACCCTTTATCAAGTCTAGAAATTTTTCATTTAAAATTTTAAATTTCCATTTAAAATTTTCATTTCATTTGATGAAGGCTTTTTTTTTTAAATCACAAATGTGTCAAACTCTGTCAAATGGTTACTGAATGAATCGATTTTCCCCCTTTAGTCATATGATAAATTGCTTAGATTTTCTAATGTTGAATAGCTTTCTGTGTTTTGGTGCTCTGGAACACTGTATAGCTTCAGAATTACCTGAAAAGTCCATGCAGACTTTGTGTTCTGGAGAGCTGACAACTCCCAAGTCACCCAGCACATTTCTAGTTGTTGTTTTACCCAGAGAAAATGCTGAGATAGTGTGAATGTGATGATAGGCTTATTAACACATTGATTCTTAACACACTGACAAAATCAGAATCAACTGAGTTAATTCCAATGCCATATGAACGATAAAGTGCAGAATTCCTAATGTGACAAATAAAACCTTGCATGGTCAGCCAAGTGCCATAGCATACACTGTAGTCCTAGCAACTTGAGAGGCTGAAGCAGGAGGATTGTAAGTTCAAAGCCAGCCTCAGCAAGTTAGCAAGGCTCTAAACAACTTAGAGAAACCCTGCCTCAATAAAAAAAGGCTGGGAGTGTGTCTCAGTTTTTAAGCGCCCRTGGGTTCAATCCCTGTTACAAAAACAAAACAAAACAAGTGTTCCCTCCTGCACTGTCTAGCCAAATATGTTTTTAAGCACTTGAAATGTGGTTAGTGCAACTGAAGGACTGGCTTTTTAAAATTATTATTTCATTTTCATTTCAATTTCAATTTAAATGGACACATGTGGCTTGCTAGTGGTTACACTTTGAGGCAACACAGATCTGGAGTCTAGGCCTTATCTAATCTTCTATCCTGCCTTCCACCACCTCTTGCATCCCTTACTTCTAGCTGAATTTAATTACTTGATGTTTTACAATTGTACTGTGCTGTTTAAATGTTCTTCTCTGCCTAGCATGCCTCCTTACCAGCCACCTGGCRACTTATGGTTCATTCCTGAGGACTCCATTTAAGATTGGTCAAGTCATAAAGCCTTTCTTGGCCCAGCTTTCCTCAGAAGCATTGGGGCTTCCTCTTCTGTATCCTYACTGTACTTAGACATCCAGTGTACTGTGATTATTACACTTAACTCCCTACTGTYTTTTTAGTACTTTCAAAGTAGAAAGCACTTATCTTTATATTTATATTTATCTTTCTGCTCTCAGGCTTTAGTACATTATAGGTTCTCAGAAAATACCTGACTTATACCAGGAGTTAATAAATAATCAGTAGGAATGGGCAAGGCATGTTCGTGTGTCTACAGGGAAGTATGGGACTTGGGAATAATGGTAAATAAACCATTATATAAGGCTCTTTGAATTCAAGAGAAGCCATTTAGGTTTGCTTGATTCCACCAGAAAATGAGCATGATTGAAAGTTCTGGGCAAGAGGCTAAGCATCTTTTCAGGGCATTATGTCTTGTGTTAAGCCACTGGAGGATTCAAGTAGAGAATATCCAATCAGGGGTGTCAGCCTGGCAACTTGACACAGTTGGCAGCCCGTGGCATCAAGACACTGGGCCATGAAGAATTGTAGCATATGTCACCCCAGAGCAGATCTGCCTTAATATTGAGGCAGCTTCTTTTTATCTAGCCACTTTGCAGGTGCTCCCAGCTGTGACTATGTTCTTTTCTTAGGGAAGGTATCTTGCTAATTCAAGCCTGCCCGCCCCCCACCCCGCCCCTCACATACACACCAGCTGAAATCTCCATATGGGACCAGCACTCTAGTGCAGTATAAACAACTTTGTGAGCTTTTCAAAGGCAAATGGAGTAAATGCAGGATACTAAGAATTTTCTAATGGTAGATAGATGAGAAGTTGGCATTAGAAAAAGGAAAGATTAGGAGGGCTTGAGAACAGAAATAATGGTTCATTTTTTCAGGCAAAATATGTGGAGAAAATAAGCGAATATCTTGGGCTTACCCCATGATTTGGGTTAAGGAAAAAATGGGCAGGCAGCGGGTGGTCAGGAATAGTTTTCCTAGAATGATAATGATGGAAGACAATTGAAATATAAAGATAAAATATATGAAGAGGAAATATGGGCAAGCAGGCATTCTTYACAATGTCAGAAGGTGGTCAGTAAAAGGAAGGAAGAAAAATATGTGGCATAGTAGCTAGAGTGGAACCTGTGYGATCAAATTAAACTAGTTTCAGAAACAAGCTGACCTGTTTGTGTTTGAAGACAGAGGAGATAGAACCAGTAGAAATAAAATCAAAGACATTTAAGGAGTGAGGAAAGAGTTGGATAAGGATGAGACTGTTTAATTTTAAATGGAAAAGGCAAGACTGTTCTTGGAATATTGAAAGATAAAGCAGGGATGAGGTACCACATCAGAGCATGGATGTGGCAGGRGGCACAGAAAGAGCAGAGCAAATGTGGCCAAAATGTAACTGTTAAAATTAATAATATTGGGGCTGGGGGTTGTGGCTCAGCAGTAGAACACTCAACTAGCATGTGTTCAGTTCTCAGCACCACATAAAAATAAATAAATAAAATAARGGTTTCCTGTCCAATTACAACTAAAAAATAAATTATTTTTTAAAAATTAATAATATTGCTTTTCCTGCAGCTAACAAAATTAATGGAATACCCTCAGGATGTGGAGGAGGAGGAGGGAATGGAGCTAGTGGCCAGAGAACTCCACTATTTGAAACTTACTCAGATTGGGACAGAGAGATCAAGAGGACTGGTGCTTCTGGGTGGAGAGTTTGTTCTATTAATGAGGGTTACATGATATCTACTTGGTAAGTCCAATTTTAACAATATTGTATATAACTCGAAGTTTCTTTTCTGAGAGGAATAATAAAATTCTGCCTTTGATAACTTTCAGGTTATGGTTAAAAGAATATTTTTAAATAATGTTTTAACAGATATATTATTTTAAAGATAAGGGCTTTTTTACATTTCGTAGTACCAATATCCTTTGAAAGAAGTTGACATTTACTCCTTATTGTCAAGAATAATTTGATCAGTGCTTGTTTGTATTTTATTTTGTAATTATCTTTTAAAGTTGGTTTGTTCACATCAAATCCAAAGAAGTTTATGCTGAATTTGCTTCATATATTTCTTAACCTTTTTAATGTAAATGGTCTTCTCCTACCTCCTTTATACTTAGCACTTATTTGCAAACAAAGCCAGGTCATTTGTTCTGTAGAATTTTCCATTCTAGATATTGCTTGTTTTTTCCTTGTGATATCCTCTACCTCTTGTATTTCCTCTGAAACATTAGCTCTAGAGGTGCAATTGGATCCAGGTTTAGTATTTTTGGCAAGAATGTTTCATTAGATGGTGCTCTGTGCCTCCTGGTATATTAAGTCCAGTCTCCAGCCAGTCATTTGGTGTGTCTGTGTGTTTCTCTCTCAGGTTRTCTCACTTTGTCTTTCTTTTTCTGTGTCTGCCTGTGTACTCTCCACCCCCATACATTTATAGTGCTCACTGACCAGTAGGCTGTAGAGCTGTCAGCCTGCTTCATCCAGTGCAGATTTACCTTTTTTTATATCAGGGTTTTAGCTGCAAAAATAGTTTTCACTAAGAGTGAGGATGATTACCTAATCCATCATTTTATTAAGGATTAATATTAGTCATATTCTAATTCTGTCATCTTTTGGTTTTCTATCAAACTTTTTTTTCCCAACAGCTCTATAATACCCTAAATACAGTTGATACAAGAAAAGCAGTGTACATCTTTACTTTTTCTCCTTTACTTACAGCTTTTTAGAATAGTGAGCTAGTTCACTAGAATCCTTCATAAGTGACCAGGAATTTTTTTTTTAATTTGTCTAATATCATTTAGTACTGGTGAAAGTTTTGGAATGTTTTAAGATCATTGATATCCTCAGTGGTTCRTGCACATAATTACCTTAACATGTGCTACCCTGTTATTACTGGCTGATCCAGTACTGGGAACTTTGGGAACTTTTAAGTGTACAGATCTGGGGAATGTATGTTGGGGCATGTAGCTGTTGTCTTCCACTTCCTCTTGAATTTGACCTGTGTGGCCATTCTGTCCTGGTATACATGTAAGAAGCATATTATAGGGCCTAAATAACCTGCCTCTGTTCATCTTCCAGGCAGAATGAAGAAAAAAAGGAGGGTTTTTGTTGTTGTTGTTGTTGTTGTTGTTGTTGTTTTTGAGGTTGCAGTGAGCACACCCACTAGTAATTGTTGTTTGGTCTGTATCCTAGAGTCTGACAGTGCTTTAAAGGGATGAATAGGATAGATGATGAAAATAAGAGAACAGTAGCTAAAATTTCTTGGTAGATTTATGGGGTTTGTTTTGTTCACCTGGCAYTTTCTTACCCATAGCCTTTCAAGAGAGTGCATGTTTGATTAGTAGTCTAGCGTGTGTTTGATTAGTCTTCTGGAAAATATTTCATTTTAAAGAATTTTTCTCATGCTATAAATTTTAAATTTGTGAGAACTGACCACCTCACAAATTACAGACTGAGAAGTGCAGGATCATCAGTGCCCCTCACCAACACGGCTATTAAGTGGAATATACGTTAAGTAGGGATAAATTTKTTTAATTATAGATGAGTTCTCCACAGTCCATTGTTCTGTCTTGAGTACAGGACTCATGTATGATCTCTCTCTCTTTTTTTTTTTCCTCTCCAGCCTTCCAGAATACTTTGTAGTGCCAAGTTCTTTAGCAGACCAAGATCTGAAAATCTTTTCCCATTCTTTTGTTGGAAGAAGGATGCCAGTAAGTGCTTTCTGTTGGATGTGATTGATGCTGATATCCATTGTTTCTACCCAGTGAAGTACAGATTCTGTCTCTCTTGTAGCTCTGGTGTTGGAGCCACTCAAATGGCAGTGCTCTTGTGCGAATGGCCCTTATCAAAGATGTGTTGCAGCAGAGGAAAATTGACCAGAGGTAATTGACAGTTGATCTTTGATATTTTAGGAAGTTTTACTTGTCATAAATAGGTGTAGTARGTATCTTACTAATTGCAAATAGTTGGCATGGTCTTATTAGTTACCATCATATATTCTACATAAGAATTGCCATTTTGTAAAAAATATGAATATATTAAAATTAAAAGTTATCATCAATATAATTTAATCCTTTGGTTTATAAAACACCTTTGTACCTTATTTCATTGGCATTTTGCAATAATATTGCCTTTAACAACTTTCAGAGTACTTGATTTCCAGTTGACACAGTTCAGAATAAATCAAACTTTCCTTATGGTGCAGTGTGTTTTCTTTAGGTCTGTGTCGTCATGATACCTAAGGCAGTGGTTTTCAAACTTTTAGAAATATTTTAAAACAAGTTTGGCAGTGTCTGCTAGTGAGCAGTAACCTCTGTATTACTGAAGTAGAAGGCATTTCTCAGATATCCTCATTGCAGTGGGCACACTCTTAATAATTCTCACTATAATGCCCTTACATTCTCAACTGCTGCTGCTTTCCACTGTCCCGCTGCCCCTTTCCTGGCCACCACTCTGTGTCCTCTGCAGGACCATCCTTTTCCTTCTCTAGACATCATATAAAGTCTAAGGCCACTTTCTCCTCATACTCTAAGTTCTCTTCCTAATGAAGATCACTCAGGTTGTGGCTTTAATGATCACCATATTTATATCTCCAGTCTAATTTGACATCTTTCATATGGAGATCTCTAAGGCCCTTTAAACTCATTATGTCCAAAAACCAGACTCAACAATATGGCCATCATGCCTCCCCCAGCCTGCTGTCAGAAACCGAGGGATTAGCTTTAATGTCTTCCTCTTTCCTTTCCTTCCCCATCTCCAGTCCCTCATCAGATTTTGTCACTTCACTTTTCAGAAATCTTATAAGCCCATGTGCTTCTACTGTAGCTTTCCCTATCCATATGCCTTATCTATGATTTCWTCCTTCTGGGTCCCCTCTCCTCCAGGGCCCTAGCTACCTGGATGTCCTAGTCTTTTTGCTTTCCTGACATTTTCCATTGCTCTTTCTTCTTCCTGTGCCACCTTCTTTATGCTTTTCTGTGAGTATACTTCACTCCATCCACTTGGTACTTGCTCCTTCTTTCTCAGTTCAGATTCTCCTCCTTAAGATAAACCTTCTCCAATCCCACAAAACCAAAGACTGTGTTCTCTAATATGCGGATGCTAATTCATAATTAGGCAGCGGGGTGCGGGGGGCACACTAGGGGAGAATAGCATTATCTTATATTAGGTAGAGGAAAGTGATGGTAGGGGAAGGGAGGGAAGGGGATGTRGGGATAGGAAAAATAGTAGAATGAAACAGACATTTTTACTGTATGTATATATGTAACTACATGACCAATATGATTCTGTAATGTACACTCAGAAAATGAGAAATTATATTCCATCTATGTATATCAAAGTACATAAATGCATTCTACTGTCATGTGTAACTAATTAAAACAAATTTAAAATTTTTTTTTAAAAAGATAAACCTTCTCCATGTCCAAGATGAGATCAGGACTCAGTTCTGCATGTTCTAGAGCCCTTGAACCTTTTTTCATCACACTTGATTCTGTCATACTACGTGTTGTGTATTACAGTTTGATTCCTGATCTTTTCTCACTAGACTGTAGACCCCATGGTGAATGTGTCTGTGTTACGTTCYGTTATATAGTTATCCCAATATTTATTAAATTTCTTGTTGAGTAAATGAGGAAAAAATGAACAGATCTTAGAAAATAGACTTATAGAACATCCAAATGTCACAGTTTGTTTTTGGAACAGCCTGATCTTAGGGTTTTTTCAACAGTCAAAAGTTGAAAGTCACATTTGCCAAAGCAAGTAGCTGTCAAGTTATCTTGAAATGACCCTTCAGTTTTCTAAAAAAGTACAACCATTCACATTAATCCTTATTTTAATTTATCTTAATCATGTTAGATGGATTTTACTTTTATCTTTATCCTATTAGAATTCACTGACCCTTCTGTTATATATACTTCAAGTTTTATTTTCACTAACACGTACTATTTAAATGSTCAGTTAGGAATTTTGCCATTGAAAGAAAGATTGCAGCACTACTGGATGAGAGTTAATTAGAAAACCTTATAAGCAGTGACCATTTTAATTATTTAATTTCTTAGACTAAGTATTATTTTAGTACCCTGGGTTTTTTAGCAATCCTATTCTTTATAAATAGTACAGATTCTCTTTGTTGTCCAATCATCTGCACATTTTTTCCTTCAGAAGAAAGGTTTCTGTAACAGATAYACTTGTTTTCCTCCACAGGGCCTTTGCACTATCCTTCTGCCTACAATACTTTCCCCTAGATTTTTGTGTCACTCATCATGAGAGTTCAGCTTCAGTATCATTTCACAGAGGAACCTTTTGCTGACTGTATAACATAGTCTGTAGTTACTTGATTGCATCTTCYAGAGCATTAACCATAGCCTGTTATTTTTCCATTATTTACCTTACCACCAACCAGAATGTTATCTCCATGAGGGTAGAGACCTAGCCCATCTTGTTTATATCTCTATTTCCAGCTATTAGGATAATGCTTTGATTTAAAGWACTCAATAAATACAAGTCGAAGAAATTACTGATTATTAACTAAAGAATTTGTCTTTATTAGGATTTGTAATGCAATAACTAAAAGTCATCCACAAAGAAGTGATGTTTACAAATCAGATTTGGATAAGATCTTGCCTAATATTCAAGAAATACAGGCGGCATTTGTAAAACTTAAACAACTATGCGTTAATGGTAATTTCCTTTTTATTTTGTCTATAGATGTAATATAATGACTAGAGGGATGAAGAATTAGATGAGAACTGTCAGGAGAGGTGATGTTTCWTAAAAACATAGAAATAGATATATTTAAGAAGACTATATATTTTTCAATTTACATTTTATTGTATGAGACTGCCAACCCCCAGAAAATGAAGTTTTACACTGCTTTCTATTTTGGAGAAAAAAAATGAACCTGTTAAATCTTCTCCAAATCATGAAAGTTATAATAGAATATCTTTACAAAAGCATTTGCTAAGTAGAGTACTGTATTACCTTACAGATTTTAATGCATATAGTTACATTTTGAGATGGTGACTTGATATGGGTCTCCATTAAAGCCATGTTGTAAGTATGGCCTCAGAGTTCTAATCTCTGTTTGAGCAAACTCTTAAGTGGTTAGAGGGTGCCCTGAGGAAGTCACATTAAGTTATATTTAGCAAAAACAGTTCCTCCKTGAGAGAGCCCCTGTATTACTTGAGAATCAGGAGAGGTGGTCTTGTAGTAGATCTGGAATGTGTGTGGGCACTGGCCTCCAAGGAGAGCTTTTYAGGGGCAAGGTATTTTAAAAACACAGTACCTTGAATGATTATCCACACCCTGGGTGGGGCAGTAAAGGTGCCCTCTCATGCCTACACTGGTCAGCCCTCAGGTCCATGTACAGAGAAAGACAGCAGGGGAGGACAGAACTCTGCAGTAAGGAAGCTGTGAGGCGGGGCCTGGACAGCTRTTTGCACAGTTCTGGAGTACCTAAGTAGAGGTGGGAGCTGACCAGGAAGACTGGGAATCACAAACTCTCAGGAGAGAGTCAGACTCATATTTCCCTGAAAGAGCCAAAGAGTAAAAGATGGGGATTCAGGGAATGCTTTGTTTTGCTTTTTAATAGAATTGTCTTACATGTTTACTAAAGTAAAAATGCATGATATTTTCTTAAAGCCAACTTTTAGTATTAGAAACTATGCTGTYGTATCTCTTAACTCTGATTACCAATCATGTAAAAATAACTTTTAAAAGCCTAAAAATGTGTTCGTGTGTATGTGTATACACACTTACATATACCTGCCATATGTATTACAGAGCCTTTCGAAGAAACTGAAGAGAAATGGCTGTCTTCACTAGAAAATACTCGGTGGTTAGAATATGTCAGGTTTGCCAACTTCTTCCTCCTTTTTTATTTTAACATTTTATTTTGAAATAATTGTAGACTCACAGAAGGTGCAAAAGTGGTAGAGAGAACTATGCATTCTTCACCTGCATCCCCCAGTAGGAACATGTTAAATAACTGAAATATAGAATGAAAACTATGAAATCAACATTRATTTCACCAGTTTATGAATGTTCTGTGTGTGGGGGTGTGTGCATACACATGTACTTCTGTGCAATCTTGTCACATGTATAGATTCACAGAACTACCTACTATAGTCAAGGTACAGAACTATTCCATCGCCACAGGGCTCCTTTGTGCTGCCCCTGTTACAGTTGGGTCTCTACTTCCTTCTCATGAATGTTATATAAATAATCCCTTCCTTTTTATAAAGGATTAATGATTTTCCCAATACAAAAATCATAATGTATACTCTGAAGAATCATATATATACCAAAGAAATTCATAAACATTGAGAATATAAATGTATATAATGAAAGTTGAGTTTTACTTGATTTCATGCACTTTTAAAATGTATTTGTGGTGGAATGTTGATATTTAACAGTATTTTTCCATTTCTCTTTTCAGGGCTTTTCTTAAACATTCAGCAGAACTTGTGTACATGCTAGAAAGCAAACATCTCTCTATAATACTACAAGGTAATTTAAATAATTCCTGAAACACCATGCCAGTCAGCTTTGGTGATTGATAGTTCATCGTCAAGTAAATTACATCACTTTTAGCTATCTTTTTTTTAAATGTGATTTTTAAAGTTTTTTTCTTTTTAGTTATACATGACAGTAGAATGTGTTTTGATACATCACACATACATGGAGTATAATTTCCCATTCTGGTGGTTGTATGTGATGTGTCATGTATTCATATATGAACATAGGAAAGTTATGTCTAATACATTCTACTGTCTTTCCCATTCCCATTGCCCCTCCCCCCGCTACCCCCTGTCCAATCCAGTGAACCTGCACTCCTCCCTCCCCACTGCCTATTGTGAGTTAGCATCAGCATATCACAGAGAACATTCAGCTTTTGGTGTTTTAAGGGATTGGCTATTTCACTTAGCATGATAGCTTACAGTTTCATCCATTTACTGGAAAGTGCCATAATTTTATTATTCTTTAAGCCTGAGTAATATTACATTGTGTGTATGTACCACATTTTCTTTATCCATTCATTTATTTAAGGGAACCTAGRTTGATTCAATAGTTTACCTATTGTGTGTTGAGCTGCYATGAACATTGATGTGGCCACGTCCCTATAATATGCTGATTTTAAGTCCTTTGGATATAAACCAAGGAGTGGGATAGCTGGGTCAAATGATGGTTCCATTCCAAGTTTTCTTTTTCTTTTTTTTAATTGATTTTTTTAAGAAAATAAATGACAGTGGAATGCATTACAATTCTTGTTACATGTATACAGTACAATTTTTCATATCTCTGGTTGTATATAAAGTATGTTGACACCAATTTGTGTCTTCATACATGTACTTTGGATAATGAT